TTTCACAGCCAAGCTGGGAACCGTGGCCCTTTCTGCACAAGAGGCACAGGTGGAAGTGCGTCTCCAGCACTTGACAGCCACAAGAATCTGGGAATGCAGCCAGCAGTGCTCAGTGGAGCCAGAGTCCCACAGCAGCCAGCCCCTCCCATGTGCCAGGGACTAGAATGCAGATGGCTTCGGGTGGCACAGTCTGCCCAGGCCCTGCCACTCCTCACATCACCCTCTCAGGGTGAGGGTTTGAGCCCTGATAACCCAACTCTTTCCTTTTCCAAATACAAAACAGAAACAGCAAGTAAAAGGGGCATCCCAGGATCCCGAAGCAGGTTAGCAACCAAAGCAGGGCCCAGGCTCAGGCTCCTGGCTTCCTGATCTTGTGTGTGGTTTCTCATATCCACAGTGCTCTATGTGCAAAGCCCCCAAGAAAGATCTGCCTCAAACCCACCACTTTTTACATGCAATCCGGCACGAACTCAAAGCCGGGGACTGACCTACTAGGAACATACACACATAAGATGATTCATCCCCGAGAACCCAGCATGAGGCCCCAGGGCAGTGCCCAGCACGTAGTTTCTTGAGGACTGGGAAGCTCTGTATTGGATTTTCTCAAGGGTTTTAAAAGAAATCTCCAGTGCATTCAGTCTGACCTCCAAGAACCAGGGGAGGAGGGACAGAAAGGTCCCCTCCTCAGCTCCGTCCCTTCTCCGGCCAGGGACACGAGCAGCTGAGAGGGGAGGGCTCTAGGTACTTAGCTCACAGGTGCCGTGACACCAGGCCAAAGCAACCCTACCCATTTCTTATCATGGCATTCAAAGCCCACAATACTACTGCTCCTTGAGTGAACCAAGGCACGACCCAGTCACCACACTGTGCTCCAGCTCACAGGCAGGAGGGTCAGCTGCAGACCACGCACCTTGCTGAAGGCTTACAGGGGGCATATTTAGGTGGCTGGGGTGGATGGATGGCTCAGAGGAGGTGAAGCAAGGCCCAAAGCACCAAGCCATCAGTGTGGAGTCCAAGCAGCATGAGGAGGGCCTGGGACACCATGGGGGAGGGGGGAGGGGACACACAATTTGGCCATTGCAGAGCCTTCTGGAATACTCAGCACTGTCCTGCCTCAGAGCCTGCCTTCGGGCCAAACCAGTGACTCCCTACAGGGCTATGCAGAAGTCAGTGATCAAGTGTGCCCAGGTCCAATGTGCCCTCCCCTGGGAGGCCCTTCGCCATGAACTTAAAGCCCTTTCTCTGTATGCCGAGGACAGGCAACTCACAGGCTCCTCATATGGCCTGGGCTCCAATCCCAGCTCCACTCACAGGCCCATGACCTGGGCAAACTCAGCCTGAGGGTGGGAATGTGGCATGGGGAGCAGCAGCCAGCAGGGCTGATGGACACTGCCCATGGGCCAGGAGCGGATCTCTCCGTCCCTCCCCAGCTCAACCCAAACCCGAACCTCCACCTGCCCAGCCTGGCCAAGCTGCGCTGGCACAGGAAGGCCAAGAATGAGCATCCGTCCTCAAAAGCCCAAAACGGAGCTGATCCCTGTGCTGCCAGAGTCAGGCAACCCGAGCCCCAGTCTGGCCAGGTGCCCACCACAGCTTTTTGCTTCTTAAGGACAGCGACTACAACCAGCTTTTCATCCTCCAGTGTCTCCAAGATGTGACGATCTGGGCCCACACCTGTGAAGCCGGACGGGGAAGGGGTGTGGATCTGGGGCCTCCTAACGCACAGGAGCATCTTCTAAACCCTGGCCTGATCCCCATTTGCCACCCTGCAGCAGAGTGAGCCCGGAATAGGTGGAGCACTCAGCAAAGAGGGAGAGGGCAGCAAAGTGGCCTTGGCCTCAGAAGGATGCTGCAGCCCTCCCCGCCACAGCCAGCAGAGCTGAGGCACAGACCAGCTGCTGGACACCTCTAAGCTCAATTCCACCCCACATGGCTCCAAGGAACCAGGGGCCACCAGGCAGGGGCCACCAGGCATAGGCCACCAACATCCTGCAGTTCCATCTTCTCTTCTCTTAAAAGGTCAGCAGCTTGGGCCGCCCCCATCTCCTTGCAAGGGATCTTGTGAGGGTGGCATGGGCAGTCTGTGCCCAGAGGGACAGGAAAGCCTTTGCTTACTAACATCTTATGGCCATCCCTGCGAGACCTCCGTCTGCAGCGTGTCCCATGGGGAGGGGGGTGACAGAGCAACAGGTATCCTGGGCCATGCTTCTCGTCCAGCTGACCTGACCCCCACAGGCAAGTCAGGGGTCTTCATCCCAGCGCGCCTTGCAGGGTGGTCACCCAAATCACAACCCCAGCTGCACGGACTCCAGAACCCCACAGTTGTGGGGGAGACAGACGAAAGCCCTGGATGAACAAGTGAGCAGAGGCCAGCACAGGTCCGAGTCAGCTTGCATAGACAGATACAAGGCAGGAAGACACATGTCTATTACCAAACCACTCTTCCCAGAAATGCAATGTTCCAGAGGCCATAACCTCTGGGCCATCTCTCATTGCTGACCCCAGATCTGCCCATCCAGGAGTCCAGGACCAGGAGAGAAGACAGACTTTCTGTAAAGCATCAGGACTGCCTGACCCTGACAGCAGCTGCTGCCTGCAGATCAAGGCCCTGAGTCCTCCTGCATCCCCATGATTACAGATTCCTGAACTCCCACTCTACCTGGCCGGCCACCACCATGACCTCTACTACCTGTGCTGAGTCAATGCAAAGCTTATGAAGCGGCCCCTGGCCTGGGCATGGCCTGCCTCCCTAGTTGTCACCCACCTGAATTCGCCAGTGGCCCCCATCTGATCATCCAGATGCATCTAGCCGGCCCACACCCCCGGCTGGTCTTGCAAATGCTCTGAAACTTGAACCTGTAGCTGGGACTTCCTGAGAGCCACAGAAGCAAGGGGAGGACGTGTCTGTTGAGCACCCAGGGAAAAGTTGGAGAAGTTAGCTTCCCACCTCACACTCTGCTCCCAGTCTGTGCTCCACAACACTGGAGAAAGAGCAAGCCGCTCGCCCCAGCAGCCCCACAGGGCCGACCCCCTCCGAGGACATGGACCGGGCTGAGTCCCCTCAAGACACCTCCAGACCACTCGGCCCTCAGTGGATGGACAGGCCACCCAACAGCAGCCCACACACACTGGACCGGAACTCAGCAAGAAAGAGGAACTTCGATGCCAACCAGCACACAGATCCGTCATCATCCCAAGAAGTGTGGATCTAAAGAAGACACACTGCACCCTCAACTTGATACCAACTTCCAGAGGCCAAACTAACCCATGGCAAAACGGATCAGAGCAGTGGTTACCTTGGGGGACAAGGGACGTAACCGACTGGGAAGGGAGTCAAGGCAACATCAAAGGTGCTGGCAATCCACATGGTGGAAATTACATGAGTGGACCCATACCTACGTGTGTTGAGCTTACACCTGTGTTCATTATACACATATGTAATACATACATATGATAGCACATGTACACACTTTATTTTTTCTACAGCAAAGCCCAGTGATGTTCAAATTGTAACTCATAAACTCCTCAACCTTCAGGACCCACCTCAAGTTGTCCCCATCCTGTCAAAGTAGAGGCTCATGTGGCTGAATATCCCTTCACAACACCTGGCTTTTCAGCTGGGAGTTGATGCTGCAGGAACTTGTTGCAACAAGCACCCGTTAGTTAGTATGTGCTCATTAAATATTGGGTGACTCCCTGGATGGACAGACACACACACACACACACACACACACACACTCATGCCCCGCCGACAGCCCAAACTAATGTCCACCCCTAAATACGATGTTGATTCTTCTCTGGCAACAAGACCTGAGGTTCAGTTTATTGTCAAAAGGGATAGTTTTCCACATGCCCAGTCCAACCCTTCTCCTTTGACACAAATCACAGCCAGAAGACAGCAGAGAGGCCCAAAGCACACTCAGTCCCCAGTGCCCACCCCGAGTCCCGCTCCTGTGCAGGTCACCTCTGCCTGCATGTCCTTGCCCAGCCTGGGCGGAGCAGGTCCACGTGAGCTCCGGGCCACATTCTATCAGGTGTAATGTCTAAACCCGACCACTGGCCGGCCCCAGCCTGCACCCCAGGCTTCCCCGCCCCCAGCAGGGAAGCAACTGCATCTTGGCCGGACTCCTGGCTGGTTTCCAGCCACTTCAACCTCCAGAAGCCCAAACCCGCTGGGGAATGGGACGGAGAAACTCCCGTGCACGGGGCAAAGGACGTGAAGAGGCCAGAAGTAACCTTCGCCTGCTTCTGCAGTCCCTGAGGAAAGCGGGCAGAAATGCACTCGGGGCACGGGTGGGTTTTCCCCGCTTCAAAAGTCTGTGCTTTCTAAGTGTGCACCCAGCACGCTCTTTTGCAAGAGAAACAGCGTCTTCCGTGGCACTGCCCGCGGCAGACTCGCTGGTCCCCGGTTTCTCTTTCTCCCGGTCGCAGCTTCCTTTAGGTGCACCCTTGGCCAGGCAGGGTAAGGAAGGGGAGGTCCTGGCCCCTCCACTCCACGGAAGTCCTCAGCCTGCAGGGCACAGGAAGGTCCCTTGGCTCCCACCACTTCTCTGCGCCCCCAACTCCAGCTCAACTTCCAGGGGCGCCCCCTTCAACGCCCCTAGCCGCAAAGGTGCTCAGGAAGTGTACACACACACGCACACACGCACACAGCTGCACTTTTCCTCCCCTCCTAACCTGGGCCACCGCCCCCATGGGCCCAAGCACAAACTTCTCCAAAGTCGCTGCTGTGGCTGGAGGGAGGTGGCGACGCCCCCCTGAGGAGCCCTAGACACACACGCACGCACACGCGCGCACACACACACACACACACACACACACACTCGCGCGCGCGCACTCGCACGCACGTGCGCCGCCCCACCCCCTGGGCCACTCCAAACCGGAGGGGGCCCAGTGACGGGGCCGGGGGGCCGGTGTCCCAGCCCCGCCGAGGGCGGCCGCACGAGGGGAGGTCGGGCCCGGGCCGGGCCGGGGCCGCGCTCCCTCGGCCGGCCGCCTACCTTGCAGGTTCTGCACGCGGATGTCGCTGATCTGCCCGATGAGCTCCTCGCGCTGGAACCAGTCCCATTCCTGCGCAGCCATGAAGCGCGGGCGGCGGGCCGGGGCGCCGGCGGCGGCGGTTGAAGAGCGGCGGGCGCGAGCGGC